TAAAAATTTGGGGTGAGTTCGGAGCCATTTTTTGGAAAAAAACATGGGCTATAGTACAGGATATATTTTTCAAAAATTGGCTCGTTTTTTTAAATGGCCATAACTCAAAAACTTTTAGTCAGAATTAGCTCAAACTTCTCCTAAAAATATAAACAAGTAGTACATACACATACATGTAAGTTACGTGCATGTATGGATGTACATAATTATTTCATTAAACAAGAATTATGATGAATTTTATGTTGAAGTTGCACACAAATACTTAAAACTTATTCTACACCTTCAGCACTAGCTAAACGTAAATGTACATGTACATGTATTCTCACAATTACACAAAGTACACAAAGTACAGTGCATTACCTTATCAGTCGCCTGTATTTCAAGTTTCTTAAGCTGTTCCTCTAGCTTTGGAAGCTGTTTCACTTTACTCTCTAGTTTCCTGAAGATTACAGAGATGCACAGAGTTAGTGGGTGGAGTTAGAACGTGTCTCTTACTTCTGCAGTTTAGAGTCTGAAGTTCCTTTCAATTCTTTCTTCATTTTCTTTATTTCCTTTTTAGCATCAAGAATGGCTTCCTCTTTAGCTGTTATCTGATATCAATAAACAGATCATGTAACATGTACATGTAGTATGAACATATGGTTACATTATTAGTAAAAATGCATACATGAATATGTTTCAGTCAATCCAATCCATTAAGTATATTGTTAAAATAAAGTCATAAACAGTACATCAAGTATCATTGTAATGTACTGTACAAGCATGCAATGTTTCTGGATTGATAATCTAAACAGGTATACAATTGGCTCAAATGCAATGTACACAACAACACTCTTTAGGGTCAATTGGCTCAAAAGTTCACAAAAACGATTAGAGTGCAAATTTTGCTATTTTTGCTATAAAATCGAAGCAATTTGGCACAAAATATGAGCAACTTTGAGCCAAAAGGCCCAAAACCATACAAAACCTTGACAATACTAAAGTACATGTACATGTATGTGTCATGTACATGTTATATATGGTAAGTACATGTACCTTTGCCTGGAGGTTACTCATTTGTGTATCAAAAGTCTTAGGAGCTGTTCTCTGATGGTTGCAGAGTACAGCCACAGCACGATTAGCTCTGTTGTATGATAATATCTTCTCATTAACAGTATCATCCTCTAATGAAACAACAAGAGAAAGTAAATAAAGAAAATTCATGCAATAAAAAAATGTGTGTACATGTACATGCTTAAATCAGTACTGAAGTGAAAATTTCTTCAACAAGATCTACTGTATGAAATTGAGATACTTGTACATGTACTATACTATGTCCCAACTGAGTTTGGACCAAGAAAAACTGGAATAACTTTTTATAGGAGTGTGGGATAACAACGAGACTTTCACAGGTTCTTATTCGCCCGATGCCGCTTCAGGATCTCAGATCTTGGGTCTCTCAGCCCTAGGGAGCCCTGAGAACCGGGTTCTCCCTATAAACCCAATGGCATACCAAAGCTAACCGCAATGACGTTATATGATGTCATAGTTTACATAAGCACATGTGGTCGAGCGCCCAAACTGATAATTCTTCTTTTAAAAAGCTAATAGAGCTAGATCTTCTGATAATGATGGCCTTTATGAAGACTAGTTGACTCCAGGAGCTATTGTACTGCTTATCAGGAAGAACAGGACTGTTTTAAGAGTAAAACAACACAGCCGAAATAGCGGCCATATCTCTATGAATATCATTATAAAACGTCATTAGTGACGTAACTACATTTTTCAAATTCCAATGCAGCTGCTTCCACTTCCGGTCCATTCTCAGTTGGGACATAGTATATAACAGGTTACTATCAAAAGAAGGCTCAAATGTTTTAAGTCACAATCAAGGGCGTAGGGAGAAAAAAAGGAAGGGGTAGGCTATGAGCAGAAAAGGGCGCGCGAAGTGCGCTGCCGATTTGGCCACGCCCACCATTACGGCCGCGAAATGGGCGTGTTCTCGCAACATGGAGTTTCATTTACTCTAATATCTATGCATGGTTCTCGCAACTGCTTCACACTCAGACTCAGATGAGGACTCAGGCAAGACTCAAGGTAGCAGCACAATCAACAAAATCATCATTCACAAAATCATCATCTTCAATCTCCTCATGCTCATC